ATGCCCAAGCTCTGAAACAACTCTCTTCTACAAATCATTATTTTTGCTTTTGGTTTTAAAGATTTATTTCTGGCACATGGTGCAAATTGTTGCTGGTACTTTTCTATAATGTAGTTGTAGCGCAATTGGCCTGTGCTGATGTGTACAGAGAGGGGGGGGATATTTCTTTTGGCATCAGGTCAATCTTTTGGGTTTGTCTCCCCAGTGTTGCCGTAGAGCCTTTGCTATAACAAAGTATACAATGTTGTTGCTGTAACTTGATGTGATGCTACTGTTGTTGCTGTTGCTGCCGTGTAACGTATTCATGAATGTAATGCATTTGTTAGCCCACCCACCCAAAATCTCCACCAGCCGTCACTGTATACACTATATGCAATATGAAAGTAAAATGGTGTGCAAAATATTTTGAGCAACTTTGACTAAAAAATTATACTGTACATAATATAAGTTTGAATTAAAACGGGTCTTCGTCAGCGGGTCAGCAGGGTTTGGAGGTAGTGGGTGCTGTGGTTGTGGAGTCTGATGGCCGATGGTACAAACAACCTTTAAACCACTTTGAGGCTCGAGGTTGGATCAGTCTGTGGCTGAAAGTGCTCCTGAGCTTCCTGAGCTCAGTGTAGAGAGGATGAGAGAGGTTGTCCATGATGGCTTTCAGCTTCCTTTTCATCCTCTTCTCAGTCACAGCCTCCACACTGTCCCGATCCATCCCCACCACCGAGCTGGCCTTTCTCACCAGCTTGCTCAGTTTATTGGCACCGTAAGTCCTGATTGTCTCCTCCCCGTCACACCACAGCGTATAATAAATAAATAAATAAACACATAATGTTCAGTTTGTGTTGATTCAACTGTATGATCTCTTTAGAGGCTGCAGTTTGTGTTACTGTTGAACTTTATTGTTAAAATCCTGATTCACTCCAGACCAGTAGGTGGCAGTAACAGGACGGCCCCGTTGCCCGGGAGACAAAGAAACAGGAAGTGGTTGTAAAATGTGGGAGAAAAATTGTTTTTAGTGTTTTTATTCTCTTTTCTGGATTGTAAATGTGGATCAAACAGCCTCTGATTGCAGTTTGATTCAGCTTTGGCTCACTTGAACTTGTTGTTGGACTGTTGTTCATTTGTTGGAGGTAAAATAGAAACAAACTGCTGATTTCAGGTTAGCTGTTGATGTGGGGATACAGCATTGCATTGTGGGAAATATAACCATTATGTATCAAGTAAAATCTAAATAATCTTTATCAGCTTTAGTTCAAAACTGTATCTTCTGTATTATGTTCTGCAGTTTCACTCACCTTCTACATCCTCTGGTTTCAGTAATATATCGATTATTAGCACCATCAGTTAACACGGTGTGTCTGTGAGAGAGCTCCCTGTCTCTGAGCTGGACAACTCATACTTACCTGGCAGGGGAGATACCATGATCAAGAAGGTGGTTCACCCAGGGCGAGGCTCAGCCATTGCACTCCGGTTGAGCTGACCTCTGCGAATTCCCCAAATGTGGGAATCTCGACTGCATAATTTCTGGTAGTGGGGGACTGCGTTCGCGCTCTCCCCTGATAAACATGTTGAAAAGAAATCATTTAAAAACCATTAATGTGGAGAAATCTACACTCAGTGGTTGTAACTCTTCTCCATATTCTCTCCTGTTGTTGTCAGACAGTAATATACCACACAGAAGTTACACTCACTTATTCAGACTGTTATTATGCTTTATTATTTATTACCAAAATAATTCATTTAAAAAACATTTAAATAATAGATAAAATGGCCTCAGAAGGACCATTACACATGTTAAATAGTTAAATATTAGATCAAATTAAGATTAATGTTTGATGTTACAATATGAAAATGACCCAGAAGTATTTACAATAAGTCAGATATAATCTGATATTGACATGATTCGCAGTTAAAATAATTTATTATTTAGAATATTATTATTATTTAATAGTATTTAGAAGGAGGATGTTTTTAAATGTGCACTAGCTGCAGTTAGACCTTATGTCCACTAGAGGCTGTCTCAGTCCCTCCAGAAAAACGCGGAGTTTTTTTGTGATTTTTTCGGGCCAAAATCTTTGATTATGTAGTACGTTTTCTTCAAAAACGCGATGGAACATGCGACAATTTATGCAATTTTATGCGATGAAATTGCGGCTTCATCGCAGAGTTTGCAGCTTTTCGATGACGTTCACGTCGCGTAATTGCGTCACTTCATAACAGCAACAGGGGAAAATGGCTGCTCTTGTGTGAAGTAAACGCAACATTTTTCAACTTTCTGCGAAGATTTATGTGACTTTTTTGCAATGAAAATGCGGGGATTATGAAATCTACAAGCCCCGCATATTTTGTGCGGAAAAAGGCAATTTATTAAGCTGATTATGCATTGAATTATGCAATCGCATAATCACGTTTTTCTGGAGGGACTGAGAAATTGTCATAAAAAGTTCATTATTTGTTCCCCGCAGAGGACTCTGTTATTATCAGTATTATAGGTATTATCTATATATAAATAGTGTATATATATATATATATATATATATATATATATATATATATATATATATATATATATATATATATATATATATAATAGTGATGGACGAAAGTATTGGCACCCCTGGAACTTTTCCAGAAAATGCACCATTTCTCCCAGAAAAGTGTTGCAATTACAAATGTTTTGTTATACACATGTTTATTTCCTTTAAGTGCATTGGAACAACACAAAAAAGCAGAAGAAAAAAGCCAAATTTGACATCATTTTACACAAAAATCGACTGGACAAAATCATTGGCGCCCTATTACAACTGTGGGTAAATAATTTCATTTCAAGCATGTGATCTTCGTTTAAACTCACCTGTGACAAGTAACAGGTGCTGGCAATATAGAAATTGTAACTGAAGCCAGTTAGAGTTTATAAAAGTTGACTCAACCTTTGTGTTGCGTGCCTGTGTGTGCCACACCAAGCATGGAGAAGAGAAAGAAGAGCCGAGAATTGTCTGAGGACTTAAGAAGCATAATTGTGGAAAAATATCAACAATCTCAAGGTTACAAGTCAATCTCCAGAGATCTTAAAGTTCCTTTGTCAACTGTGCGCAATATAATCAAGAAGTTTATAACCCATGGAACTGTGGCAAATCTCCCTGGACGTGGACGGAAGAGAAAAATTGATGAAAGAATGCAACGCAGGATATTTCGAATGGTGGATAAACAACCTCAGTCAACTTCCACACAAATTCAGGCTGTCCTGCAGACTCAGGGTGCAACGGTTTCAGCTCGTACCATACGTCGTCATCTGAATGAGATGAAGCGCTATGGCAGGAGACCGAGGAGAACCCCACTTCTGACACAGAGGCATAAAAAAGCCAGACTGCAGTTTGCAAGAACATACCTGAGTAAGCCTCAATCCTTCTAGGAGAATGTTTTGTGGACGATGAGACTAAGGTAGAGCTTTTTAGCAAAGCACGTGATTCTACTGTTTACAGAAAACAGAATGAGGCCTACAAAGAAAAGAACACGGTACCTAGAGTCAAATATGGTGGAGGTTCAAAGATGTTTTGGGTTGTTTTGCTGCCTCTGGCACTGGGTGCATTGATTGTGTGCAAGGAATCATGAAATCTGGAGACTATAAAAAGATTTTGGCCCGTAATGTGGGGCCTAGTGTCAGAAAGCTGGGTCTGCGTCAGAGGTCACGGGTGTTCCAGCAGGACAATGACCCAAAACATACTGCACAAAGCACCCAGAAATGGTTGGAGACAAAGTGCTGGAGAATTCTGAAGTGGGCAGTAATGAGTCCTGATCTAAATCCCATAGAACACCTATGGAAAGATCTCAAAATTTCTGTTGCGAGAAGGCACCCTTCAAATCTGAGGGACCTGGAGCAGTTAGCAAAAGAAGAGTGATCCAAAATTCCAGTTGAGAGGTGTAGGAAACTTGTTGATGGTTATAAGAAGCGATTGGTTTCAGTTATTTTCTCCAAAAGGTGTGCAACCAAATATTAAGTTGAGGGTGCCAATGATTTTGTCCGACCCAATTTTTGAGTTTTGTGTAAAATGATGTGAAATTTGGCTTTTTTCTTCTGCTTTTTTGTGTCGTCCCAATGCACTTAAAGGAAATAAACATGTGTATAACAAAACATTTGTAATTGCAACACTTTTCTGGGAGAAATGGTGCATTTTCTGGAAAGGTTCCAGGGGTGCCAATACTTTCGTCCATGACTGTATCTATATGTATAGAAATAGTTATATCTATAGAGAGAGAGATCACTATTTATATATATATATATATAAATAGTGATATCTATATATAAATAGTGATGGTGGTGGACTTGAAGCAGGTGGGTTCCGAGGCCTGAGCGAGGGACAGGTTGTAGATGTCTGTTAACACCTCCGTCAGCTCTGATGAGCAAACCCTGAGTGCACGCCCGGGGATGATATCTGGGTCAGCTGCCTTCCTTGGGTTTGTTCTCCTCAGAGCGGAGCGCACCTCTACCGGTGACGCACAGAGTGGTGGGTCCAGTTTGCCCTCAGTGGCCAGAATCTCTCCCTGTCGGCTGGCGTTGAGGGCCTCGATACGAGCGTAGAACTCGTTGAGCTCACCCAGTAGTGTGACTCTGCTGGTTGAGGCCCCCAAACTCTTCTGTTTGTAGTCTGTGATGTGTTGCAGACCTTGCGTCACGCTCTGGGGATCAGCAGTGGTGTAATATCCCTCCAGCTTCAGTCTGTATTGTCTCTTGTCTCATTCTGTACTGTTTAAGCAGTCCTGAAGCACCAGTTCAGATTCTTCATTCCACACTTTAATAGTTTTAGTTTACACTTATACTAGAACATGTGTTTGGACTGGTTCCCTTCAGAGTTTATTATTATTATTTTATACATTTAAGAACATTACTTTGTTATTATGGTTTTAATCTTATCGCCATAGAATCTGTGGATCATCTCTGCAAGTTGGGTAAAGTTAGTGTTTGTGTGTATCTGATTAAACTGAGCTGTGTTTCTCTTTAATTACAGGAGGAAGAATCATTTCAGGAGGTGTGTCCAGACTGTTGACATCGAGAACGGGTAAGCAGCAGTACAGACCTTCGCTTCATGATTTCCTTTTATATCTTTAAAAACTTCTCAAAACTGCATTTCAACTCCTTTTTTATAATTGTGTTTAATCTGTTAACGTTAATCTCAGCTTGTCTTACTGCGAGTTACACACCTCTGCTGCTTCAGCGCGTTATCAGGAAACGTGTGCAGCTTTTTAACCCTTTGTTCACTCCTAAGGGAGAATAAAGAACATATTGAGAAGCTATATGCTGTAGCTGATTGTTGTAGAGTGCTGTACTTATGAACAGAGCCGCTGTTGTGGGAACATTTGTGGTTATTTAATATTGTTTTGGGCCTTGATCTTCAACATTTTACAAAGGATGACATATTTAGATATCAGGTCAATATGTTTAAAGAACCAAGGATGGAAAGAGTGGAGGAATAATTTTGGGAACTGTGTTTTAATTTTCAAAAGTCAGATCCTTAAATTCCTTTTAGTTTATTTAGATAAAGTCCATGTGTTTAAAACCCCTATTTACTGTGTGATTTGGGGATAGTTGTCCTCGATTGCATGTCCTCAGAAGGCAGATAGAGTTTAGCTGAATTATGACAGTTTGTGTTGCTGTTGAACTTTATTGTTAAAATCCTGATTCACTCCAGACCAGTAGGTGGCAGTAACAGGACGGCCCCGTTGCGGGAGACAAAGAAACAGGAAGCGGTTGTAAAGTGTGGGAGAAGGTGTTTTTAGTGTTTTTAGTGTTTTTATTCTCTTTTCTGGATTGTAAATGTGGATCAAACAGCCTCTGATTGCAGTTTGATTCAGCTTTGTCTCACTTGAACTTGTTGTTGGACTGTTGTTCATTTGTTGGAGGTAAAATAGAAACAAACTGCTGATTTGTGTTAGCTGCTAATGTAGCCATACGGCATTGCATTATGGGAAACATAAACTTTACGTACATAAAGCAAAATATAATCTTTATCAGCTTAAGTTCAAAACTGTATCTTCTGTATTATGTTCTGCAGTTTCACTCACCTTCTACATCCTCTGGTTTCAGTAATATATCAATTATTAGCACCATCAGTTAACACAGTGTGTCTGTGAGAGAGCTCCCTGTCTCTGAGCTGGACAACTCATACTTACCTGGCAGGGGAGATACCATGATCAAGAAGGTGGTTCACCTTGGGCGAGGCCTGACCATTGCACTCCGGTTGGGTTGACCTCAACGAATTCCCCAAATGTGGGAATCTCGACTGCATAATTTGTGGTAGTGGGGGACTGCGTTCGCGCTGACCCCTGATATACATGTTGAAAAGAAATCATCTAAAAACCATTAATGTGCAGAAATATACAGTCAGTGGTTGTAAGTCTCCTCCATATTTTCTGCTGTTATTGTCAGACAGTAATATACCACACAGAAGTTACACTCACTTATTCAGACTGTTATTATGCTTTATTATTTATTACCAAAATAATTCATATATATATATATATATATATATATATATATATATATATAAATAGTGATATATATCTATAAATAGTGATATATATATATATATATATATATATATATATATATATATATAAATAGTGATATATATTTAAATAGTGATATATATATATATATAAATAGTGATATATATATCTATAAATAGTGATATACCGTATTGATCCGAATATAAGACGATTTTTTTCCCCTTGAAAAATGCCTGAAAATGACGCCTCGTCTTATATTCGGGGTCTAAGCAGTAACCCATGTAAAACAATAGGTAGCGCCATATGAGCGCTTTTCTCTCCGTCAGCGTTTAGTGCAGTGTGACCCTAACGTGATCCTGTAAACAAGCATGTACAGTAAACAAGTCGGCTGGAGTGGGTGTGTTAGCCTGCCGGCGGCAGCGGCAGACAGCGACAACGACAGTGCGAGTGAGGAGGAGGAACCCAGTGAAAAGTATTTTTCCGTCTTATATTCGGGTCAATACGGTATATATGTAAATAGTGATATTTATGAACAGACAGTTGTTTGGGTTGTTTTGACCCTGTTTTTGTATCTGTAAAACAGCTCATGTGTATTGTGTTATGTGTTATTGTTTGACATAATTTGTAAATCGAATATTTAAATAAAGTTGATATATTAAAAAAAAAAAAAGTTGTTTGGGTTGTGACGTTGCTGAAAGCGTCTGATTGGATTAGGAGACAGCACGTGATCGGGAAGTGGCGACGAGCCGCGTTTGGTAAAGTTATTTCTTTAAACTTTCTTTATTTTTAGCGATTCTGCGACATTTTCTCCGACTGTAGTTTGTTGTACTTTACTTTACTTTACTTTATTATTATTGTATTTGTCTCGACTGTGTTCACGTTGTTCCGTCGGGCTGTGAACCGTCAGTGAGGGTCCCGGTGCGGAGAAAGAGCTCCGTACCTCCGACTGTAGTTCAGTATCGCTTCTCGGCCTTTTGGCTAAGATCAAGTGTAGTATCTGTTCTTATCAGTTTAATATCTGATACGTCCCCTACCCGGGGACCATATATTAAATTGATTTTTGGAACTGGGAGATGGAATAGGGGCTTGCTCCGTCCACTCCACGCATCGACCTGGTATTGCAGTACTTCCAGGACCGGTGCACCCCCCTCTGATTGTCTAATGTTAATAATCTTAAATATATTAACTGCAGTCAGTTGATGTTGGTTCAACATTATGAATATTTGAGAGGTTGCAGTTTGTGCTGTATAGCTCTGTTGTAAACTATACAGCATATTATAGTTGTTGTTCTCTCAATATCCTTATGAGATTAATACTTTGTACTTTGTGTGCTACTATTTTAAGACCCAGAGAAGTTCCTGTAATAATGTTTAATGATCCCTCAGACATATTTAATTTAATTCAGGTTCAGCTGATGATACTCTAATGAAATCACACATCAGTGGCTCTCTGTGAACATCTATTGAAGTAAACTGTCAGTAAAAATCTGCTAATATTTTATTGCTCACTTTAGTTTGCAGAGTTTCCTGATGAATGAACGAGCGAATGAATGAACTGTAGTAGAGAGTTAACATTAGGAAACTCTGTTCTGGCTCAAATGTTCAGTTTCTGTTCTCCACTAAATTCAAGAGGTTTATTGTCATATGTACAGTAAGGGGCTGTACTGTTTAAGAGGTTGATGGCCTTGGGGTAAAAACTGTTAGAGAGTCTTGTCGTCCTTGCTTTCACACTCCTGTAGCGCCTGCCTGACGGCACAAGTGTGCAGAGACTGTGTTGTGGGTGTGTATTGTCCTTTATGATGTTGTGGGCCCTCCTGAGGACCCTGGTTGTGTAGATGTCCTGCAGTGATGGGAAGGCTGCTGCAGAGATTTGTGCAGTTTTTATGACACGCTGGAGAGCCTTCCTGTCCTGAGCAGTACAGCTGCCACACTGTAACTGAGCTGGTGATGATGCTCTCCACTGTACATCTGTAGAAGTTGCTGAGGATCTTGGTTGACATACCAAATGTCCTCAGCCTGCTTAAGAAGTCTCTGCTGGGCTTCCTTCAGGAGCTGGTGGGTGTGGTGAGACCAGGTGAGGTCCTCGCTGATATGGGTTCAGAGGAATTTAAAGTTTGTCACCCTCTCTGCCTCTGTCTCACTGATGTACAGTGGGCAGTGCTGTTCCCTCCCCCCCCTCCTAGGATCAATAATCATCTCCTTTGTCTTGTTTGTGTTTAGGGAGAGATTATTTCCCTGAGCCACCAGTCCTGCCACCTCTCTTCTGTACGCCGTCTCCTCCCCACCACCGATCAGTCCAATGACCGTAGCGTTGTCCGCAGACTTTATAATGCAGGTGTTGGTCTGGGAGGACACACAGTCGTAGGTAAAGAGGGTGTAGAGCAGCGGACTTAGCACGAAGCCCTGGGGGGGTCCCTGTGCTCACAGTTCTGATGCCTGATGTCCGGTTTCCAACTCTGACTGACTGGGGTCTGTCTGTGAGGAAGTTCAGCACCCAGTTACAGAGGGAGGGTGTCAGTCCGAGCGTGAGGAGCTTTACAGAGAGCCTGAATGTAATGACTGTTCTGAATGCTGAGCTGTAGTCCATGAAAAACATTCTTACACGTGTCCATGTCTTCTAAGTGTGTGAGGGCAGTGTGGATGGCAGCGTTGACAGCATCGTCTGTGGAACGATTCTGTCTCTATGATAACTGTAAGGGGTCCAAGGTGGCCCGGGATGGCCTTTTTGATGTGTTATGACTATCCTTTCAAAACACTTCATCACAATTGGAGTGAGTGCGACAGGCCGATAGTCATTCAGACAGGTCACAGTGTCCTTGTTTGGGAGGGGCACGATGGTGGTGGACTTGAAGCAGGTGGGGTCCGAGGCCTGAGCGAGGGACAGGTTGTAGATGTCTGTTAACACCTCCGTCAGCTCTGATGAGCAAACCCTGAGTGCACGCCCGGGGATGTTATCTGGGTCAGCTGCCTTCCGTGGGTTTGTTCTCCTCAGAGCGGAGCGCACCTCTACCGGTGACGCACAGAGTGGTGGGTCCAGTTTGCCCTCGGTGGCCAGAATCTCTCCCTGTCGGCTGGCGTTGAGAGCCTCGATACGAGCGTAGAACTCGTTGAGCTCACCCGGTAGTGTGACTCTGCTGGTTGAGGCCCCCAAACTCTTCTGTTTGTAGTCTGTGATGTGTTGCAGACCTTGCGTCACGCTCCGGGGATCAGCGGTGGTGTAATATCCCTCCAGCTTCAGTCTGTATTGTCTCTTGTCTCATTCTGTACTGTTTAAGCAGTCCTGAAGCACCAGTTCAGATTCTTCATTCCACACTTTAATAGTTTTAGTTTACACTTATACTAGAACATGTGTTTGGACTGGTTCCCTTCAGAGTTTATTATTATTATTATTTTATACATTTAAGAACATTACTTTGTTATTATGGTTTTATTCTTATCGCCATAGAATCTGTGGATCATCTCTACAAGTTGGGTAAAGTTAGTGTTTGTGTGTATCTGATTAAACTGAGCTGTGTTTCTCTTTAATTACAGGAGGAAGAATCATTTCAGGAGGT